AATCATTACAAACCAGACACATTAGGCTACTATGTTCAAATTAAAAATTTTTGGGGGGGCAGGCCCCGTGGCTTAGCGGTTAAGTGCACGCGCTCCACTACTGGCGGCCCGGGTTCGGATCCCGGGGCCGCACCGACGTACCGCTTGTCCAGCCATGCTGAGGCGGCATCCCACATACAGCAACTAGAAGGATGTGCAACTATGACATACAACTATCTACTGGGGCTTTGGGGTGGGGGGGGAAAGAAGGAGGATTGGCAATAGATGTTAGCTCAGAGACTATCTTCCCCAGCAAAAAGAGGAGGATTAGCATGGATGTTAGCTCAGGGCTGATCTTCCTCACAAAAAATAAATAAATAAATAAAATTTTTTTTGGAAAAAGATATACAGTAATCCCTCCTTATCTACAGTTTTGCTTTCCACAGTTTTAGTTACCCACGGTCAACCGTGGTCTGAAAATATTAAATGGAAAATTCGAGAAATAGACAATTTGTAAGTTTTAAATTGCACAGTATTCTGAGTAGTGTGATGAAATCTTGTGCCCTTTTGCTCCATACTGCCTGGGGCATGAATCATCCCTTTGTCCAGCATATCCACGCTGTACTGTATAGGAAAAAATGTAGTATTTGTAGGGTTTCATACTATCTGCAGTTTCAGGCATCCACTGGGGGTCTTGGAACGTATCCCCTGAGGATAAGGGGGGACTACTGTACATGCACATAGGATATAAAATCAGATAGTTCTGCAAAGTTAGTTAAAAAAACCCAACACTATTCCACTTCTTTTTCCTCTCCTAATAAGCAACCATTTACTACCATATTTAGCTAATTATTTTGATATTTACTCAATATTTCTAAATGACATGCTGATACACTAATTTTTTTGATAGTCAGTGTTTATGTGATTATGACTGTGTAGCTTATTCAGAGATGAACCGTGTAGTGTACTACGATTTGTTTCCCTTGCCTGTACAGCTTTTTGTTTCCCTCTAATTAATAACTGTCTTATTTGAAAATTTTTCTATGTCCTTATCACTAATTCAATCCTTGTTGTTTAAATTTCCTGAGATATACCAGGCATCCAATTCATTTTATCTTCCCAGAGCCTTCTGACCTCCTCCACGACTGGCTGCCTCCCCGCTCAGTGCAGACCATCAGCCTGAGAGCTCCCTTTCTCAGCATTTTGGAAATTTCTTTTCTTGTCTTTTTCTCTTGTGTTGACACGTCTATTTCTTGTATGCTTTTCTCTCTTTTGCTTAGTTTGCTCTCTTATTTTGATTGATCATGACCTCATGTAGCTTCCTGAGAAGGGGTGTATAGGGGAAAGTCTGAAGTGTCTTTATTTTATTCCAACATTTGCGCAACAGTTTAGCTGAGTATAAACTAATAAAATGGTCTTTCTCAGCATTTTGAAGGTATTTTTCCATTGCCTTTAAAAAAAACTTTTAGTTTTGAAGTGATTTTAGGTGGGCAGAAGAGCTACAAAGATAGTCCAGAGTTCCCATATACTGTTCACCTGGCTTCTCCTAATGTTAACATTTTACCTAACACCATGGCACATTTGTCAGCACTAAGAATTAATATTGGTACACTACTATTAACTGAACTACAGACCTCAGTCCTATTTCACTAGCTTTCCCACAAATATCTTTTGTCTGTTCCAGGATCAAATCCAGGACACCAGGTTGTAGTTAGTCATCATGCGTCCTCAGAATCCTTCCATCTGTGACAGTTGTTTAGTCTTTCCTCATTTTTAATAACTTGGATACTTTTGAAGAGTGTGGTCAGTATTTTTATAGAATATCCTTCCATAGGGCTTGTCTGATGTTTTCTCATGTCAAGACTTGGGTTGTGGATTTTGGAGAGTAATACCACAGAGGTGAAAGGGCCCTTCTCATCTCATCATATCAGGGGATGCATATCTACATGACATGTTACTCTGAAGTTAACTTTGATCACTTGGTTAAGGTGGTATCCAGTCGGTTTTTCCACTGTGAGGTTACTAATTTTCAGTTTCCTCTGCATGAGTCACTACATCCAGCCCACATTCAAAGCAAGGGGAATTAAGCTTCATCTTTGAGGGAGGAATATCAAATAATTTGTGGACATATGTTAAAACCATGACAATAATTAATAAATATTTGGGGGGAGATACTTTGAGGCTATGCAAGTACCCTTTTCTCCTTAAAAGTTTTACCCGCTAATGTTAACGTTCAGCAGTGAATCTCACCATTGCTCTTTAACTTCCAGTGTTACTGTCAAGAAATCCAATACATCCTAACTTCTGATCCTCAGAATTGCACTTTTTCTCTCAGGGAGGTTGTGGAACCTTTTCCTTCTTCCCTGTGTTCTGAAATTTATAAAAATGTACTTTGGCAAGAAACTGTTTATATCGTGCTGAGCTCTCAGTGGGCACCGTCTATCTGAAACTTAGGTCCTTCAATTTGGGGAAAAATTTTTAAATTATTTCCTTGGATATTTCTTTCTTTCCCTCTCTCTTTTCTGGAACTCAACATTTGCACATTCGTCCTCTGAGACTGGTTCTTTAACTTTAAAGAACCAATCCTGGAGATCCAGTATTCAAATGCTTTTCCCGTTTCTTTATTTTTTTCTCCTAGTTTAAGGAATGTGTCTCAACTTTGTCTCTCAATCCTATTAATTGTTTCATTTCAGCTGTTGTATATCTAATTTCTAAGATCTTATTTTTTTGGTTCTCTTAATGTTTCCTTTTCTGGTATCTGATTCTTTTTTTCATTGATATTCTTTTAGCTCTCTTTTCTTTTTTTTGAAGTTTTCTATAATTTTCTTTGTCCCTTGTCTCTGTTTTTCATGTTGGTGACTTTTCTCAGATGTTTTGTAAACTTGGTAACCTACTCATATTAGGGTGGTTTGATTGGCAGCTCTGAGTATAAGTGGGGCATATTGGCTGTTCATATTCAGTGTAGGATGATCTGGCTAGGTGGTTTCCTTAGGGAGTTCTGACTTATGTCCTCCTGGACATATCACATTCCCCAGAGAAGGACCCTTCGTTTTCTTGCCTGGATTGTGAGGCCTGGCTACCAGCATCGTGGGAGTGGATTATAGGAAGAGAGCAAGAAGGTCTCAATATCTGATGTTCACATGCTCACTGAACCCTTCTGTTTACAATACCACACCACTGCCCTAAACTTTGCCTCTTGTTCTCCAGGTCAAAGATCTTGTGTTTTGCTTCTGTGGATAGTAAACCTCTAGTCTTTTGTCAGGTAAGGGAGAGGAAGACACCTGGTCACGAGGAGTAGAGGAAGGAATCTGAGTATCTGACTGCTTCGTAGACAGACTTTCTCTTCATTCTTCTTAATTCATTGCCCTCTCTCCCACTTCCAGGAGTATCTGGGGCCTCCTGAGCCTTTAGGAGCTCTGCAGTGTGAAATAGACTGCTTCCCAGCTCATCCGACTGCTGCCTTATGATTCGGTTTTTAAAAAAGTCTATGTAGTGATGCACTACTTTTCCTTCTGCTTCCCAGTCTCTAATTTTGTTACTCTTCTTCCTTCTTCCATTCTCCTAGTTCTTATAGATTAGTATCTTTTTAGAACAGTTCTTTTAGTCTCATTTTTTTTTTTTTTTTTTTGTGAGGGAGATCAGGCCTGAGCTAACATCCATGCTAATCCTCCTCTTTTTGCTGAGGAAGACCGGCTCTGAGCTAACATCTATTGCCAATTCTCCTCCTTTTTCTTCCCCCAAAGCCCCAGTAGATAGTTGTGTGTCATAGCTGCACATCCTTCTAGTTGCTGTATGTGGGACGCGGCCTCAGCATGGCCGGAGAAGCAGTGCGTCGGTGCGCGCCCGGGATCCGAACCCGGGCTGCCAGCAGCGGAGCGCGCGCACTTAACCGCTAAGCCACCGGGCTGGCCCTCTTTTAGTCTCATTTTAATGGTGTTTCAGGAGGGAAGGAAATTAGATGTGTGTGTTCAGTCTGTCATTCTGGAGTTTGTCTGTCTGTCTTCCTCCCTCTTGTGCTCTCTCTTATTTCTTTCCTTTCCATCTTCGTTCCTCCCTCTCTTAGAAAATTATTGGAGGGCCAAATCCTGAAAGGGTCTTATAAGCCATTGTAAGGACTCTGACTTTAACTTGCAATGCAAATAGCTGCCGAGTGTACCCTGCAGTGGATCAAGGGTGGAATCAGGGAGACTCGTTAGAAGACCGTGGAAATAAACCAAGATAGAGCGTGGACCAAGCTCATAGCAGGATGGGTCCATGTGAGAGTGTTGTGAAAGCTGGGAGGTCCTGTGCGTATGTCAGGTGTTGTTGTTTTTTGGTAGGCACACCCTTGAGTGCAGTGGGAATACATTAAAAAGAAAGGATGAGATGTACTTGTGGCGACATGAATACGTGCAAAAACAAGGCTTGGTGAGAAAGTAACAAGCAGAATGAGATATATAATATAACAACATATAAGTAAATTGAAAATAAATGTCCAGAAAATGCTGACATATTTTCTAAAAAGACATTTAAACACAAAGAACTGTATTAAACACATTAAAATGTTTGCCTACAGGCAGGAGGGTAATGGCAGTAGGATGTAAGGGAAGAGGAAAGAAAGAAAGAAATGAACTACCAAACAAATAACAAGAGGGAGGGCATAGCTTTAGAATCTGGAGAGAACTATGTTCGATCTTAGGTGTGCTGTTTGGGACAATTTACGTAACTATTTGAAGCCTCAGTTCCCACCTCTGTAAAATGGAGTAGTACTATCTATTTAGTATGTTTGCCTTAAGAATTAAATGAGACAATCTATGTAAACTGCTAGCAAAGTGTCTAGGGCACAGAATAATCTCAATAAATGTTAGATATTTTCTTTCTCCTCCAACTATACAACAGTGTAACTATTGACACTCTATGGAGTGAAGATATTTTCTTCAGTGAAAGTGTGTGCTGGGTTCTGTTATTGTGAGGCAGGAACGCAGGACGTGTGCTTCTTTTGCATATGTTTTTAATTCTTTTTTTCCCTTCTCTCAACGCAGGGCTTACCACCCAAAAGATGGAAGGCAGAAGTTACTCACCTGAGTTGCCCAGAGCCTACAGTGTTTGCTTTCTCCCCTCCGGCTCCACGTTCGAGCTCTTTGCGACGGATGTGGATACCAAGCTTTGAACAATCCAAGAAAGAAGCCCAGGCACTGAGGTGGCTGGTCGATAGGAATCAAAACTTTTCAGCTCAAGAGTTTTGGGCCCTAGTATTCAAGGACTAATTTCAAAAAGTATCAGGATGGTACAGACTAGAGCCATCTTGAGTTTTATTTTTTAGGTTGCCTTAACATATGAATACAATAGCTACTTGGTTGACTATCCTTTAGGATAAGAATTTAATTGCTGCAGTACTCATAATGAGCCCTATCAAATAATAGATATGAATTGCCCTTAGGGGTCACCTCTATATTTTTTTATACTAAAAAAGTGAATATTTCATATGGACACTGGTCACCTTCAGTTTACTTGTCTGGACCCATGTACCTGCTGCCATTCGTGGAAGTTCACCTGATGTAGAGTGAGTACCTTCCTCGCTGAAGGGAGTCAGAGGGTGTAGCTGTGCATTCTTGATACTCACCTCACTGACTGCAGTTTATTCGTATTTGGCAAGCCCAGTGTCCTGATGCTGAGCATGAACATGAAATGCATTAGAACTTGGCAATGAGAGAGTCCATCTGTTGGTTTCCAAGGATGTAAGTGAGTAATAAAAGCTGTATGAAGTTGATCTGCTATTTACTCTTCAAGTCAAAAGAGCATATGCCTGTGTCTACCTTCTTCTCCACACTCTCAACTACCTCCCTAACCTTTCTTATTTTCATCTTGCCCTGAAATCCTCCCCCTCATTCTCCCCAGAGTGGAATGTCTTGTGAAGACGTGCCTCTTCCTTGTGTGTTTTGATCAGCGAGATGTTCCCAATTGTCCCTTAGACTGCTGAGCAGAATGATAATCGTATGATTCAGCCTGGACAGCCTGTACATTTTGATCACTGTGGGAGTGGAAGTGAATGCCCCCAGGAACTCCAGTTGTGTTGAAAGTGATAGGAAGCCCCACTGGTTTGTGAGCATTCCCTTCATTTCTGATCCTGTCACAGAGAAGGTTCAGCTGTCTTGTCTGGAGCATCTACTGGAGCGCCACAAAAGACAAGGAGAAACAACACTGGCTCACATTTTCTTTCCATGGAGAGTGAGGAGGTTTCTAGATGATACTAAAGCCTGTTGCCACCCAATATCATGGCTTTGGTTTTCCTTATTGTGGAAAGACGTAAGCTCCAGACGACAGGAAGAGTCCCTGATGTGGCACAAAGGGGAAACTGGGGGGAGCTCTCATGGCACCCACTCCCCTTTATCACAGGCCATGCCTTTCTGTGTCTACCATGAGCAATCTCTTCCTTAAGCAGCTGTCTCTCTGGCTGTGTCAGAGAAATGAGGACATAAACCAGTACCTTCTTTTAGGTAAGAAGAGTCACATTGCTGGGTGGGAGAAGGTGTTTATGACTGGGTTCTCTCAATCCCAGCTCTGCCATTGACTAAATATGATTTTGTGCAAATCTCTTAATCTCCCTGGGCCTTAGTTTTTGTATCGAAAAAGAAGTGACTGGAATTGTCTTTGAAGTTCTTTGCTGTGTAGCATTCTTTAATTGTTTATCAAAATTTAAGAAGTTTAATTTTGTAGGTGTTTTTACTAAGACAGTCACAAACCATTTCGGAACCACTGTTTTTCAAAGGAAGCACGCTCTTCTTTGCAGGAAGAAGCATACTTATTGGGTAGTGTGAAGATAGAAAGGAATTTATCTCTCTGCCATTTTATCTGATAGTATCAAAAGGGAAAGGGTTGGAAAGGGAGATTGCTTGTTAAAGACCAGATTTTAAATTGTGTATTAAATGAGGTTTTTTGTGTGTTTTTTTGTGGTTGTTGTACTCTTAAAAGAAAGCCCAAGATACGATTTGTGCCTGTGGTGAGATATTATCAGATAGTTTCAGTTCTCTTCCATAAATGCCTTAAACACATACCCAGTGCTCACCTGCTGCATGTGTGTCTTAAACCTCAGCAGTTCATGTAGTTTTATTCCATCACGATTCTTCATCATGAGTCCGTAGATGAAGTTCTCCCTAAACTTTTCTAAAGTATGTAGCTCTGAACAAATGTAGTGAAATAAAATCATTGCTCATTTAATGTGGTATGAAAATTTTGTGGGGGAAGAGGATGGAGGAGAGGGAATTCAAGGGATTGAAAATGAGGTGCATTTCAAACAAAATAAATTAGGGATTCTTTGGGACTCTTTGAGAACCCATAGATTTGAGACTTTAATTTTTTTTTTGCTTAGCGTATGCATCTTCTGTAATAGGATTTTCATTAATAAGATGATGCCGTCTTGTGTATGATAACTGCTGCCGTGAGTGAGCGAGAGGCGTGTCCCCACTGTAGCAGGATTCTGACCTGGAAAATGGAAGGTGTGCTTTTGGAGTTCCATGTCAGGATCTCAGCACATTTTATCCGTGTTGATCCCATCATACCATTCTCTTTACCTCACTGTCTCATTGTTGAAATGTGATTAAGAAAATGTCCTGCCTCACAGGGCTGTTGTGAGGACTGACTCGTGGCTGTGAAGGACTGTATTCAATGCAACATTCTGTTTAGTGCTTCAGTACGTTCCGCTTGGATTCTTCTCAAAGACTGATTTTCCAAGTGATATGCCAAGGGGGACAGAGACTTTTTCCGAAATGTTAAAGAAAATGACGACTAATGCTAGTCACTAGTCTTCACTTCTTCATCTGAAACTGGAGGCAACTTTGACCTTTGATCAAGTATCAAATATAATATTTCAGAACCTGAACGCTGACTGGCTTATTTGTCACTATTAAGGACTAGATTCTAGTAACTAGAATATCAGTTGAGGTCATTATCATTATCAGTAACAAACTGAATGCATACAGTGTTCTCAGAAATAAAAGACATTCAAAAATGAGCATCATTCCTTCAGAGTCACACATCGTATATTACACGTAGGAGAACAAGGTCAGTGTCTATAGAACACTGTATGAATCCAAGCACAGTACAGACCTGAACTTGAAACACCCAGTGTAATATTATGCATTTAAAAAAATCATTATTAGCACATAATTCCTGCTAAAGATGACAATTCATTAGGAGAATCCAGTATGGAGTTCATTTTTGGTGAATGATGTTGATTATCTAAAGCAACATGGGTACAACTCTGCACAAGTGACATATGTCTTTCTTGGAATCTTCAAAGTATACAATATAGAAGTTCACAGGCCAAGAATAATGGTGGTTAGTTTATGTTTCAAGTAACTTTGCAATCTTGAATATTTTATAAAGAACTTTCTTACCTTTCTTTAGGAAATTTCTTTCCTTTGTTTTCGTTTTTGTTGCTGTTATCATTAGTGATACTATCTTTTCTGCATGATCCTCATATAAAGATATATCTTTATTTTCTTCTGATTACAGAAATGAAAAATGCTTGAAAAACTCAGAGGGAATATAGAATCATGAGCTATGACTCTAGAGTAAGAAAGACCTGGTTTTAGTCCCCACACTCCAATGTACCATTTTTGTTACTTTGGTCAAGTTATTTGGCCTTTCTAAGCCTCAGTTTGCTTATCTGTCAAATGGGTATTATAATATCCATTATTATAATAGCCAATCTCCCTGTGAGATTGGATATTAAATAAGTTAATGTTCATAATTAACTCAGTAAATGCTAGCTATAGTTGTTACAGCTATCTGTGGCCATCACCTTTTTGTTTGTGAAGACCTTGACTGAGATTTGTCCAGAAATAGAGAATGAGTAATGGTAGTCCTAGGGATGGTACCCTAGTGTTCTTCATTTAGTTAGTTGATACAGATTTATTGTTATGAGATAGGCATTGTGCTAGGCACTGTAGCAGATGTGAATAAGACATGAGAGAGAGAGAGATGTGAAGGGTCTGGGTAGGACTTTGTGATATTACGAGGATATGAAAACCAGGGACTGAGGGATGCTCAAATTGTACTCTGACTATCTCTGCCCTCCATGGGATTTCTGATGCAGTTTTACACAAAGCTCTCAACAACATATTGGGAATCAAACAACCTCTTGAGAGTAGCTGTGGAAACCCAAGTAAACCGAGTCAATGATACCTGGTCAAAGCTGGGTTTGAACGTATGGTTTAGACTTGAAGCCTAAGTAGGGTCTTTTACTGCCTTTTCATTTCCCAGTTCTCAATCTTGGGACCAGCCTGTTCAGTGTGCTTATACCAAGAGAGAGGAGAGAAAGATGGAGCAGGTCTGTAGGTCCTGACCCTACTTACTCATTAACTGAAAATCAAAAAAGGAAGAAAAGAGGGGGAACCTGATCAGGCCTCCTATTAGGCTGCAAGCCCTGTTTGCTCTCCACATCATATGGATGCAAGAATATGCGATGCAATATGTGGGAGCTCGCTTTTAAGTCATAGTAACCTCTCTGGTTAATAAAATGTGGCCCATCAATTTCCTGAGCCCAGCCCATTAAATTGGCGACAGCATTGGTACTGGTGGTGGGAATTATTAAGGAGGTAGGCAAGAGGCAGAGGCAGAAGTGGCCCTCCATGATCTTTGTCCTCTCAGCTCATTGGGCTTAACAGCCAAGCCTGTGGTCAGTCGGAGGTGTGGCTGTATCCCTAAAAAGGTATGACCAGTCGTGATCAACAGATGCCTCCTCTCACCTTCCTGGGCTTCTTCCCTGATATCTACCCTTGCTCCTTTGTATCCCCCTGGATCCAGTGACATGAGCAGTTCAGCTTTTGTCTCTGAAGCTTCTGAAATGAATGGGAACTGGACATTGATTAATGCCTCCAAGGGTATTTTGAGCATTAGGTCAAAACTTTATTCCCTATTTTATTTGCCATGCAAACCATGACCACATCATCCAACCTAGTTCACTAGAGGAGGTTATACAACCAGCCCAAATAGGCCATTATGAATATTTGGAATTTTACTATCATGAACTCCTTAGTTTTTAAAAAACTGTTTGAGAAGATAATTAAAGAAATTTAGAGGCCATCAGTGTAGGTAGGGGGTGATATTAATGGTTTTAAGGCAGGGGCATTATCCCAGGAGCCTACCATAAGTTGTTTCTCATACACACAGATTAAACATGACTGTGGAGACTCATCTGATGAGTCACACTCAGAGGAAACAAAAATGAGTTTTACTTAAGAATGTCTTTGGTGAAGCAATAAAAATGAGTAATTTTATTAAACCTTGACCTTTGAGTGCATGTCTTTCTAATTCTTTGTGACAAAATGGGGAGTATACCTAAAACACTGCTGCTGCACACCAGACCACAAGGAGAATCTCAAGGAAAAGCACTTGTATGGTTGTCTGAGTTGCGAGCTGAGCTAGCGGCTCTCCCGTGGAATACCATGGTTACTCAGAAGAACGTGGCAAACTGTGACATTCAGTCTTGGGTTTTTGTCAACCATCTTCATGAAAACAAAGTTTGCCTGTCACTTTAAGAGGACTAATAGAGCTTGTTGCCTATGGTAAAAGTTCAGCTTTCAAGTGAAAATTAAAATTTTGGAAAACTGATTTCTGCCACTTTGAGCTTGACAACTTCCTGATACTGAGAGACTTTCCTGATGAGATTGGTGATATTAACAAATGTTACTTTTGACATTGAATGAAAACAGAGATGATGATGTGTAAGGGTGTTTTTATTAGTTTGTTTTTATAATTCTAAGGAAG